ATTTATGCTTCAAAATATCTGAAGTGTACAGAGAGCCCATCAGAAAGCAGCAGTGCTGATACTCTGGTCCAGCTTTGCAAACATCACAGTTATTGCCTAATTTTAAGATTCTTCCATACTGAATATTCCTGCCTTACTACCTCACTGAAAACGCAGGAGTCCAGCTCTTCCAGCACAGCCCTTAGTGGCCCTCCACTGCTACTGAGCAGTACAGCTTAAGCTTCTACCTGCCTGCCTTGCACACGCCAACTGCTGAAAGAGTTCCTCCAGAGCCTGCTCTCCCCCTGAGCCTGCCTGGGTCATCCACGCTCCCCTGAAGCACTTGCAGCCACACACTCCTGAGACCTCCATGGCCAGAGGCTCCTCTCCTGCTGAGTATTTGGGGCTCCCGTGAAGTCCAGCCCCAGGCTGGCTATTGACTCCTATCACAGCACCCCCTTTTTGCCTAGCAAGCACCACCACAGGAGGAAGCCTTGCGGCTCCTGCTAAGACATATTAGGATAAGGAAACATTCATGCATCTTTTTATAGGGTTCTCTCTCATGGTTTATCCAGGCATGTTCTTATCTACGTTAATCTGGTCCCTTCCAGTCTAATTACAACTCAATGTATAAGACAGTCTCATGAAGATCTTAGCTTAGGTTGGATATTTCTATTCTCAGTATCCCCAGCAAAATGTATAACGCAACTGGTATCAGATATACCTGCAGATACAGGTATGAGTACATGGATGAGCAAAGGGCTCACTCATTCCCCACAGCAGAAGATCGGTAATCACCAGAAGCTCCACATATGAAGGTTTGAAATTTTTGTGCCTCACTTTAGAGGAATTACATCCCCAGTTCCTTTATGTTAAGGCTATACAAGCACCTCATGCCCTTTGAAAATTCCTGCCTTCATTTTGGTACAAATAGAAAATTTAGCTGCTAACAAATATAAAACTGGTTGTCTGAACACCAAGGAGTGAGAAATGTTGAGGGTCTGGCTAAGAACAAGAGAACATGAGACTAGAAATACGTGACTGCTGAGAGCTATTAGGGACACAGCAGAGGGAGCTGGTGAAATCCCAATGCTTGAAAGGTTTTATAGGGGGAGAAACACCCAGGGGAATATCACGATGGAAAATAAGAGGTCAAACTGAAGTGTGAAAACTTTTGACTAGGTTTCCAAGGCAGAAGTTCAAGATGTCAGACTTTGAGCAATCCTTTGTAACTACTGTGACACCAATGAAATAATATAATAATTGGTTGCTAAACTAATACAGTGTTTACTCACAGGAACATTATCCACCGATGGAGTACTCTGAAGAGTATTTGGAAGAATATTAATGAATTTCAGTCTTGTGCAAATGAATCTTCCCCTCCCTCCCCCCCAGCTTCACACTGAAAACTGCTTTAGTGTTACTTCTCCACTGATGCAGCCTGAGATTTCAGAGACCCACGCATGGAGCGCAGACATCACCAGGTAATTAGATGACCCATCATTGCAGCAGACAGTCAAAAGAAAACGTCCACAGACTAAGAATCTCTCTCCTGGGAATGCTTAGTAACAAACAACTGATTTCACTGAAATCAGAACTGAGTCACAAAGCAACATGGAAATCAAAAAGGAGGGGCTAAATCTGAAATAATAAACAATTGAAACAGCTCCCCTTCACCGCAACCATTTGGCATGTAATAGCGTTCTGTATCATCGCAAATACTTGGCTTGCTTAATTGAGATCCAGGTCTGGCAGTTGTGCACAAGAGAAAAGCTTTGGTTTTTTTTTCCCCCCCAAATTTTTTCAGGCATACAGAAACTATAATGAAAAGTATTCAAAGAAGCACAAAGGAAACAACAAACAAAAAAAGCACTATGATACATTCTACCTTTTGAACGCATTTTTGTTTCCATAAAATGAAAAGTCTGTTTATTCACTGCAAAAAAAAATGATAGAGATGTTTGTGTATCCAAACAAATGGTGAGAAGTTCCCCAGAAAACACAGTCTGCAGTGACTAACTGGGGTAAGAGCAGGAACTGAGCCCACGTGCTGTAGCCTACAGCTGCTGCCAGGATGCCTGGTGCCACGCGGGGAAATGAACGGCAGAGGTTTTGGGAGAGTATGCAGAGAGGGGAGGGTTTATTTGCACAGAGGACATCATACCTGCATTCACTCTGGATTCCCAGATAATGTAGGTCAGGATGGGAGGGGATTACAGTTAAAAGCATTTCTTTTTCCATTTCAAATCAATTATTATAAAACCTGTGCTTTCCACACATTTCAGCTGGGTATTCCCGATAGCATGGTTTACCTTTGTATCCAAAGTCAGTAAAACATGGTGAGAAAGTGTAATCCTGGATGCAGCGAGATCACCCTGACATGTACATTCTCCGGCAAGCCTTACACACTACAGCACCTCCGTAAGCCACGTCACAGTGGGCAGTACCCTGGCCAGGCAGCTGTGGGAGCTGGGACTTGCCCTGGCTGTCCAGCCCCAGCCCTCGAAGGACCAGCAGCACTGCCTGCAGACGTGTACAGCCCCTCTGCTGCCTTTAAACCAGCCAGATGGGACAGGTCAGACGCACACCACACAATATACTCCAGGAATTACAGGCACATCATCTAAATACAGACTTTAAATGCTTCCTCTTAGCATAGTCGAAGGAGCAGTACAAATTGAGGTGTATCAGGGTTAGCTGACGATTAAAGACTCCAAAGGAACACGTCTGTGGAACATTAAAATTAAACTTCTATATTGCTAGATTGTTACATAAGAGGCTTTCCCTATAGAAAAAGGGAGAAGCAATCTGCCCACAGCACTGGATCATGTGCCGTGGTCAGTCTGGGACAATCATGAGGGTGAACAGGTTACAAAAAATTCTTCAAGAAACTGAAAAACAGTTTTACTGAAAAAAACTTGTGCTTTAAGTGGCTTTTCTTGAAGGTGAAAAATAGTAAGTTGTTAGCAGAACTAGAGGCAACAAGATTTGTAGCAAAAGGTTGTATCTTTTAGTAGACTAAATGAAATAATCAGTCTAAAACAGACAAAGGATTTGAAGTTCTCGAGCCACCAGGTTTTGTCTTGTTTGAAAGTTACATTGGTTGGTCTAATAACACATGAGACTCCTCTTTTCAAACCCTGCCACCTTGAATCATCTTAGGTAACGGCAATAGAAGCTGCTCTTTTACTGTTTGGTGTTATGATTGTCCGGGATGTTAAATTCTGCTCTCCTCTTATTTTAAAGGGAGTAATAAAACCAGCTTATTTAGTCTATAGATTTTAATCCATAAGAGAAGTCCAATTTTTCATTAGATTTCAGTTGCCATGGTGTATATACAGCAAAACATAGTGTTTTACTGGCTGGACTCCCTTTCCCTCCCCTTCCACACACACCAGGTCAGCAACGGAGGTGGCCAACTCCAGCCAATCCAGAAGGGCAGTAATTTGGGTTCACTCAGAGGGGGATGAAAAAAGACTTTTACTTAAGCCATAGGAAAAGAGGCTTAAGTCTTGAAAAGGTTTGCATACCTCAGACAATGTATTGATACATCAATAAAGTTCAGCGCAGGCATGTCTGGCAGCGCTGAGCTCAGCAGCGCCCTCCTCACAGAGCAGAGAAAAAGGATGGATCCTTCTGGATTATCAGGTGAAGCATCACCTGGAGAAAACAGACTCCTGTCACAGCCTCCAGTAATGATCCTTTTCAGCCACCATCAATCTTTACTGCTCATTAATTAAATTCACTGTTTAGCTGATGGTGAGCCTGTGGGCCACACAATCCTCTTTCATATATTCTTTAAAGCCACAGAAACTTGACGGTAAAAACACGGCATTACACTGGGCAGGCAGATAACCCCTGTGACTGTGCTCTTCATGTGACTGATGTTAGGAGACCAAATGGGAGATGAAGAAAAGGAGCAAAGGAATGGATGAAAGCAAAGAAAGGTGATTCTGCCTGGAAACTAGCATCAAAGGAGTATGTGATACTGTCTGTTAGCTGTGGTGGCATTCCCCCAGTCACAAAAGAACCACACACCCCCCACCCTAAATCTTTCATTAAACCTCAAAAAGCAAAGGAAGCCTCTGCTCTAATGCAGTCATTCAACAGGGTAAAATTTAATGGCACTTGTCAGAAATGAGAAGTTTCAGGCAGACTGGCCAGTACGCAGCATTTCAGCCGTTCACTAGAGAGTGTATCCTCCCAACAGGCTGACATCAACCGGAAGTGTCTGGAAGACTTGATTCCACAATTTGGGGAGGGGACACACACTGCCAAGTATGTAATACTCTATGTCCCAATAGGTGGGAGGTGAAGGCTCAGTGATGCTGAAGGCATCGTTATGGCAGTGAAGCAGGACCAAGCCCTGTGGATGCTGATAAGAAATATTTACATTTGAAACCTTTTCCCAAATGCAGCGTGCAGATACTTGGGAGCTGCACCACCTACACACACAACACAAATGTAGGTTGTGAAACTGTTTTTTAACTCATCAGGAAAAAATGATTTTGTGAATGAAATAGGAACTTCCATGGAATGGCTCCATCTTCTACAACTTCTTGTAGCTACATGCAAAACAAGATCACCAGTTTTCAGAACCTCTTTGCTTTGCTTTCTGTACCAGACAGAAGTTTTCTAGAAGGAAAAAAAATATTCAGAAGAATTTCCCAACTATTTCTTGTTTTAATCTTGTGGTAGGAAAAGAACCAGCTATTTCCAATCTTCTATAGCAGAATATAAGGGGTAAAACCTTCTAAAAGAACACTACATACTTTCAAAGCCTGTGGGGCTCTCAATTTACAGGCATTTTGCAAAAGAGCAGAAGAAGAGAGAGGACGCAGGCAGCGGTACACCTCTGTAAGCCATCTGAGCTCTCTGGCAGATGCAATTCCCAAAGCTCTGCATTCATGGCCCCTTGCTGCTGCTGCCTCCCTCCCTGGCTCCTGTGTCCCCTCCTGTGCAGAGCAGCAGCCTCTCAGGGAGGTTCCACCCGCAACCTTGTATTCTGCCTTGCTTCTAACCAGACTTCCCACCATGACTAGAGCTGCAGAATACAAAAGCGATGCCCAGCATCTGCTCTTCTATAAGCAGCTCCATACAGAGGGAATTAGGGAACAAATCGCATTGCACTTAGCCCTGTAGTTTCCTCAACACTATCTAATGTGGCTCAAGGACAAGATCTTCAATTAAAAAAACCCCAAAACTAAACAAAACACCCTACAAGAATAAAATGCTAGGGAAAACCCTACAAATAGTCTCTTAAAGTAACTCACATTTGTACAAGTCATCAAAGGGTGACCCAACACATTCCTGTTTGAGGAGATACGATGCTTAAATCTTTGCACAACAGTGAGGTTCTCCTCTGATTTGTAACTGAAGGAAAAAAGAAATAATTTTATGATGCGACAGCAGGAATAGCAAGGATTAACCCTGGCTGCACAGAGAGGAACATGAACAATCCTAACACATCCCATCCTTCCTACACAAGGTTAATACTGCTGCAGGTATCTGTCCTTCCCTAGCCTGAGATTTCATTAAATATGTTTCCATTTGTGCAGTCTTTTTTTATATATATAATGAACGTGGTGTGCCAAAATAAACTTACTGCTGCATAAAGATGATGTAGCTCAAAGTAAAATTAGAAGAGTGTCCTAAAGGACACGATCAAGGCCTATAAATGTTAATACCGTATTTTCCACAGAACTCTGTTTGATAAACTTCTCTATGAATATTCCAGGCATGATTTCTATTACAGCCACATTTGCCCGCTCAATCGCTGGATTTCATTTCACTATGAATAAGTAACTATCCAGGGATTTTTGGCAGCTTAGTGTTGTTCTAACCCGTTGGTCTTGTAATTAGCTCCAAATGTTGTTTTCATGAAGCCGTATTCTTCTTCATGTATCCTAAAGTCCCCAGCTATCGTCTATACTTAGCCTATTATATTAATGCTTGGGAACATTAATATATAAATAGCATTAAAATTGCAAAAAGCTGCTGCCTGGATGTTTTCCAGGTACATGTTTGAAAAGGGAAGGTTTTATAAATGTTCTACACCTGAGGATGCACCAAATCTCTATTTTCTGGAATGTATTTGTAGCTTGGTATTCAAAAAAAGCTGGGGTTTGCTCCACAAGTCCTTCAGGCAGGGTGGCTCGAGATGGTGGAGCTGATGGCATAAATGACGATCAGATCTTGCACAAATGGGCTCTTTGTGAGAGACTGTTGGTGGGCATAGCATTACACGCGTAGTTTCACCCTTTTTAGTTCACATCCTATTTACCACCTAAATATCCTGCTAGTGTAAGGATACCAGCAGAAAACAGAAAACATATTTTAAGTCTGATACTGGGACTGAAGTATCTGAGGCTACGGTTTCATCCTCGGTACGGAAACAAAAGCCCCCACACTGAGCCAGATGCCGGGGGAAGCTATTCACAGAGCGAGACGTGACCACCATCCAGGTTCAACATGGGACTTCTTCAGTCCAGTGAGCTGTACTGAACATTCATATATTCTTTTTATATATTTATATATTCATGTATATGTACATAGTTATACATATGTATGTATGTATTTTTCAGACCACAGCAGCCTGAAAAACTGTTTTGTCCAGAAGGGAGAGCAAATGATTAATGAGTTCTCACTTCAGCTTTTGTCTTTATTGCCACCTTAGTAGGTGACGCCAGGCAAGTACTGCGCTTGCTGCCAGTATGTTCAGATGGGCAAAGCAACCCAGACAGCACTTGCACTGTGGGGCAGGGAGCTGGGCGGGGAAGGATCTCTCCATCACACACAAGAGGGGCGAGAGAAAGTTTGCTGTGGGCAAAGCACCTTAATCCAGTCCCAACTGTGACCTCCTCCTGTGAAATAATACAAAATAATTATTTAAGGACTAATTAAGATAAATTTCATGAATGCGGCCCTGAACTCTCCTATTACCCAACACTGGAAAGGCCCTACGGCTGAGGAGAGATCAGAAAACCGCATTCTCCTAGGTTCTGGCAGGAGGTTACCAACATGGTTATGTAGCCACTGAAGAGCTTTCTTCGTGATTTAGTCCAGCATGGCAGGAATAAGGGAAAGCATTATATCAGTTAAATACTGGTTTACAGCTTTATTTGGATTTTCCTTTCAAAAAGGCCAGGAATAAACCTGCACGAATGGATTCATTTTATAGCAAGAACAAGTCCAGCATCCCTCGGGGTGATTGCTGGACAAGGGCACTGAGTCAGCAAAAAGCCTGGTGCAGTCCCTGCTGCTGTACCGTGCAACGTGCTGACACTCAATGGAGGTTGGCTGACTGCTCTCCTTGCTGTTTGGCAGTTGCCTGAAGTCACTGGGAAGTTGTTAGCCCACTTTAATTTGTAAACCTATTGATGAGCATTTAATGTTAATGAAACGTTACTGCTGAGTAATTCCGGCAGATGAAACTCAGTTAGTTCATCGTGCATCTAATTTATTTAGTGCTAAATGTTTGCCCTTATTTTCTTTACACACTGAAAAGTCAGATTTGGATAAAAACTTTGCATCTCAAATAAGACTATTCTTTAGAAAGTTAGGCAAATTTCTATGTAAATACTTGTCTTTGCACTTTGCATAAAATTCTGCTCCGGGCCATATATCCTGCCAAGATGGAAATGGAAGGTGTAGGCTGTTCCTGGTGCCTAATACTCATAAAACCCACGGCGATGGAGATAGTTCTCATCTCTACCAAACCATTTGAGTAAATGCAATGGCAGTGAACAACTGAAAGAGATCTTACACAACCCCACAGGTAGGGGAGAGCTCTGGCTATGACGATGGATAAGGGGCAGCCTTATTCTGCCATCTCCAGGTACCGAATTCAGAGAATCCATGGTAACCTGCCCCATGACCACCACAACACCCTAACTGGCCGTGAATTTATTACATTACACACAACATATTCATTGTGGTAGCCATCAGAAAGAACAGACAATCTCAGTGCCAATAGGGGGGTACATAATGTCCTGTGCACCAGACCCGGCGTGCAGCACGGGGCATGCGTGCCTGTGCATGGGCGGAAGCTGCAGGAGCTGCCCTGCTCACACACACCGCTCCTGTGCACACTATGCTGCGGTGGGTGGTTTTTGACATGCAATAGGATAGGTGAAGACAATCTGATATTACATCTATCAGCTGCCTTTCTCAAAGAAATATGATTGAAATAGGACAACATTAATATTTCCCCCTGCCCAAGAAAAACAAATCAATTCTTGCTAGCACATTGTACCATAATCCTGTGTTTACCAATACTCTCTCTATCTTCTACCAGCAAATGTAATCCTGGGCTAAAGAGATTTTTCAATTATATTCATTTCTAAACGACTGACTAAATCTAGCAAAGTAGATGGGGGAAAACCTGACATATCACAGATCCCTGCACAGCTGCATGAGAAATATTTTCTGATTTGTCCTATCTCTACCTGAGCATGCTGACGCCCATGAGGTTGACAGCGAGGAGGTGGCGCGCTGCAGCTGGCAGCTTAGCTCCTCGGGTCCTCATTAGTATTCATGGGCTTCTATAATGATGTTAGGACACAGCTTCGTGGTGAAGTTTGGGCTGGTGTCCCTTACAAACTTCACCTGGTTTAAACAGAAAGCTGTACTCAGGGGAGAAGGGATGTAGCTCAAGGGAGGTAAGGCTGTAATTTAATCGTTGGATGTTTATTTGCCAGCAAATCCCTAAACGGTGATGTATTATTACAATATGTCAGCTATTAACTCAACTCATCCCTCTGTTTTACAGGATGAGATAAAGCACTGAGACTTCCATCAAATTGAAAGCTGCTTCAGAAGGGTCAGCACCTCTAAACATTAAGCTCAGTACAGAACAAGTCAGAGAGCCCAACTCCTACCCCCCAGCACCGTGGAGCTCCTGCCAACCTGCCAGCCCCAGTCTGGCAAACAGCGCGGTCCACAAAACACCAGAGCTTCCATCCGCATCAGTGTTACAGCTTGTCAGAGGATACATTGTGGAAAAGCCCATGTTGAGGATTTTCTAGTACTTTGGGAATGGGATTTTGCTACAGCCCCCCTGAAAATAATCTGTGGTTTGTTTTCTTTGGGGTTTTTTTGTTTGTGGGTTTTTTTTTTCTCTCCTCTTTTTTAAGACAGGAAACATTTAATGTTATCAGAATAGCTGGAAGACTTACAAGGTGTCGTGGTTTAACCCCAGCCAGCAGCTAGAACCACACAGCCGCTCACTCACTGACCCCAGTTGTGATGGGGGAGAGAATCAGAAGAGTGAAAGTGAGGAAAAACTCATGGGTTGAGACAAAGACAGTTTAATAGGTAAAGCTAAAGCCGCACATGCAAGTGAAGCAAAACAAGGAATTCATTCCCTGCTTCCCATGGGCAGCAGGTGTTCAGCCATCTCCAGGGAATCAGGGCTCTATCATGTGTAATGATTACTCGGAAAGACAAAGGCCATCACTCCGAATGTCCCCCCGCTTCCCCCTTCCCCCAGCTTTATATGCTGAGCATGACATCCCATGGTATGGAATAGCCCTTGGGTCAGTTGGGGTCAGCTCTCCCGGCTGTGTCCCCTCCCAGCTTCTTGTGCCCTCCAGCCTGCTCGCTGGTGGGGCGGTGTGAGGAGCAGAAAAGGCCTTGATTGCTTAGCAGCAACTAAACCCACCAGTGTGCCATCACACTATTCCCATCCCAAATCCAAACCACAACATTACACCAGCTGCTCGCAAAAAATTAACTCCATCTCAGCCAAAACCACAACGAAAGGACAGATGGACATAGAGGCAGAACATCTCTTCACCATAAAGTGTGAGAAATAGAAATAAAACATAGTAAAGTGGTCTGTTTCTTTCCTTATTCTCATGTTGGCCATGGTCATGCCTTGGAGAGCTGGGAAACCTTGCAGCAGGCAAAGGCTTGGGGAACACGTGTTCCCCCAACTACTGCTAGGCTGGAGCAACCACTCAAGCACATGGCTGATTTCCAGAGGTGTTTTCTGCAATGTTAGTGAAACTTTCAGCTCAGGCAGCTGCCAAAGCGAAA